CTACAGTTCCGCTAGCACAAGATTGTACAATATTTTTAATGAGGCCAAGCAAGGATAAAATATTCGTAAACAAGACACCAGGGTGTTGAGTTTCTTTATTGTCATGACATTCTGCTGTTGTAATGTAAAGACAGAATTGAATTTGGTACGGTGTACTTCTGTTTAAATTGCAATGTCTTCTTTCGTAATATTGTAATGTATTCAATTTTTGTTCCTTGTAATGTCTTCTTCTGTTCGTTCGCCCTAGTGACGTAACTGCGTTGTACCTGTTTACAGCACCGCAGTTATATATGCGCCCTTCTGCCTACACACCCGACTCATCAAGCATGTTGTTGACTGCGTTAACTTCCCGGATATTGTGATATAAAATAATTGTAACGAAGTTATATTTCAGAAGTCACCGTTGATTTCCTGTTTGCTAAGGTAAGTGAATGTAACTCGTATAATAGTTATTTAACGTACTGGAAAAGTTAAGGTCAAGCAAAGAGACAAACATTTCCTCGAAAAGACTGTTGAATAATTAGACATAAACCCTTTTTAACGTGTGTAGTTAAACTGAGCATATATGAGACTTTTGGCAATATGGGCGCACCCAACAAGATACATTGTAACTTTAGATTCAGAATTCGGAGAACATTATAAAACATAAAACTCCTTTTTTTTAAAGTAAAGATGAATGTGTACACTTCAAGAACGATCTAAAAACAAAAATCAATCACTAGTTTATTTCACCTTGGATGATACTCAAACTTAAACTTCAATCAGCATATCATATCAATTATTTATTTAAGTAAAGATCTGTCTGAAGAAGTCAGAATAATTGTTTAAAAAAAAAAAAACAGTGAAAAGGATACCAAGAAGCAGAAGGAAAGGAGTGAGTTAATGTAACAATTGAATGGATAACAAATATTTCAGTATATTACATGAAACAGGCACAGCCCAAGAAAGGTATTATGGACTGTTGAGTAATGAATGAGGTAATCAACGTCTCAGATCGTCATGAACTAGACACCTAAAAGTGAAATAGTAGTATAAATAGTAGTATAAATAGTAGTAGTAATTGCAGTAGTGGTAGTAGTAGTCGTGTTGGTAACGGTGGTAGAAGCAGCAGTGGTAGTAGTGGCAAGAGTGGTGGTAGTAGTAGTAGTAGTAGTAGTAGTAGTAGTAGTAGTAGTAGTAGTAGTAGTAGTAGTAGTAGTAGTAGCGGTAGTGGTTGTGCTAGTAGTAGTAATATTAGAAGTGATGGCGTTGGTAGTAGTGGCAGTGGTGGTAGTAATAGTAGTGGTGGTAGTGTATTGTGGTGGTAGTAGTGGTGGTGGTAGTAGTAGTAGTGGAGATAGTGGTGGTTGTAGTAGTAGTAGTAGTAGCAGCAGCAGTAGCAGTAATGGTAGTAGTAAAGGTAATTAAGGTGGTGGTGATGGTAGTTCCTCTTCTTTGCTTCCTCAAAGTTACAAGCGGGGAAGCTAATGGAAAACTTTGAGTATTTTTTACGTTGTTGTATTTATCTGCACAGGCAAACCATCGATGTAGACATGGAGAGCTTATGGCACGTTGAAAGTACCAAAATCATACACATTGTCTTGTTTATTGGAGCTCACTTTGTTCTACAGACTAACGCCGCTCGAGAGTGTCCTTTCAACCCAGCAGTAAGTAATGGCTGCAAATCTCTGTGGTGCTAGTAGTGCCAATACTGCTACGACTGGTAGTAGTAGCAGTAGTGATCATTCTTTTTTCTTTTCTTTTATACTCAACCCCCTTCCCCCCCCCCACCCCACCCTCTTTTTTTTCTCTTCTCTGTGTGTATATTTATATATACAAATGTATGTATGTATATATATATATATATATATATATATATATATATATATATATGTGCACACACACACATACAAACATACTATATACGTACGTATGTACGTACATATACAGACAGACAGACAGACATACATACATATTTGATAGGCTGGAGAACGCCAAAGACTGCTGCTGAGCAGCTTGACGATTTCGGTTTGTTTGGTGGCCGATATCTTAATTAAATTTGGTTTAAAAATGCGGAAACGTCTGGCCACTCTTTATAAAAAAAAAGCCAGCTCACTCACTATTTGGGTCTACTTGGCTTCCGGACCGACCCTGCAGGACATCGACCCAGCTGTTGCGGCTCTGCACATTGGGCTGACAGCGTGGGTATAGACGATTGCAGGGAAAGGCCGTTGTCTGCCTGGTTTCACGGTACGTTTGATTTGCTTAGGTGATGTTAAATTTTATTTCCATTGTGCATCGTCGCTAGGAGATAGTTTGATGGCAGGTCGCTATAAGTGATTTGTTGGCATTTTGAAGCTAAACATACATGTTAAAGATGTTTCGGATTTTGCCTTTGTTGAGGTAATATCGCTGAGCGTATGGTGTCATTATCTTATTTCCTTGTTAGCTGGAGATGATTAGCACTTTAGATTCTGGTCAAGCACATTGGTTGTTGTTAATGTTGTTATTTGTTAACCATTTTATGTTAAGTGAAAAAAACAGATGTTCAGTGTGGTAATAATAGTTTCATTTGTTTTTAGAAAATTTCATGTCTGGACTAGCAAATTTCTGTTTCTAGTCCGAGCCTAACAGACAGACAGACAGACAGACAGACAGACAGACAGACAGACAGACAGACAGACAGACAGACAGACAGACAGACAGACAGACAGACAGACAGACAGACAGACAGACAGACAGACAGACAGACAGACAGACAGACAGACAGACAGACAGACAGACACACACACACACACACACACACATATATATATATACATACACACACACATACAACTCCATGAAACTGAAAATCGAGGATGTGCTAGGGAAAAAAAAAACTTTGCGCTAACCAGGGAGTAAAAATAAAAGTACATCCCTGCCGGCAGCAAGCCTTTGTTCACATTAACTGAGAGAACTTTTTTAAGTGACTTTGTCTTGATGGGATTTTACTACATAATTGATGTCATCATCTGCAACAGATAAAGTAAGAAGACATATATTGGGGAGACCGATAGGAAGCTAGCAGATCGCTTTCTTGAACATCTTGCTGACATTCTCCCTTGATTTCAAAAGTTCTGACCATCAAGGCCGAAACGATATTTCAGTCTTCTTTTTCTTCTTGTTCTTCTTGTTCTTCTTGTTCTTCTTCTTCTTCTTCTTCTTCTTCTTCTTCTTCTTCTTCTTCTTCTTCTTCTTCTTCTTCTTCTTCTTCTTCTTTTTCTTCTTCTTCTTCTTCTTCTTCTTCTTCTTCTTCTTCTTCTTCTTCTTCTTTCTTCTTCTTCTTCTTCTTCTTCTTCTTCTTTCTTCTTCTTCTTTCTTCTTCTTCTTCTTCTTCTTCTTCTTCTTCTTCTTCTTCTTCTTCTTCTTCTTCTTCTTCTTCTTCTTCTTCTTCTTCTTCTTCTTCTTCTTCTTCTTCTTCTTCTTCTTCTTCTTCTTCTTCTTCTTCTTCTTCTTCTTCTTCTTCTTCTTCTTCTTCTTCTTCTTCTTCTTCTTCTTCTTCTTCTTCTTCTTCTTCTTCTTCTTCTTCTTCTTCTTCTTCTTCTTCTTCTTCTTCTTCTTCTTCGTCTTCTTCTTCTTCTTCTTCTTCTTCTTCTTCTTCTTCTTCTTCTTCTTCTTCTTCTTCTTGTTCTTCTTGTTCTTCTTCTTCTTGTTCTTCTTCTTCTTCTTCTTCTTCTTCTTTTTCTTCTTCTTTTCTCTATTTTAGGAGTGCCTCAAAGCGTCAGGACAGGAAGAGATCTCTGGAACAGGCCCTTCTGTTCCCATCTGTAAAGTACTTTTAATGTCTCTAATATTTCTGCTGTCCATATTCTACGTTGACGACCTTTGGGTCTCTTACCACTGTATCCATATAACATTGATCTGTGTGGTGCCCTGCTGGATGTCAATCTTGTTACATGGCCAAACCATTTGATGTGTTGTCTACTTATAATGCTTAGAATTGGTTCTGTGCCAACTCTCCTCCTAATATCATCGTTCCTAAGTCGATGCACCCAGCATAGTACGTAAACATTTAATTTCTATCATGGCTAGTTTTCTTGTCTTCTGAAAACAGTGTCCATGTTTGACATTGATAGCATAGCGTTGGTAAGAATATTGTGTTCAACAGTGTTTTTTTAGTGTTCATATTCACATGCTTGCTTTTAGAATTGGTGCAATTTGGCATAAAACTTGATTGGATTTATTGTTAGATTTCTTTCTTTATTCTCCCGTCTTCTGACAAAATGCTCCTCAGATATGTAAAGTCCTTCGCCTGCTTTAACTTGTTATCTTCATTTTAGATACTTGTGGATCTTCTTTTTCTGGAGAATGTCATCACTTCTGTTTTATCTACGTTGATCTTCATATCATAGTGGTCGCATTTTGAATCTATTGATATGTTCTTGTAGTTGTACTGCTGCTAGTGCTATGATTGCCTGGTCGTCGTCTCAGACCAGCTCATTTAGTAATATATATATTAAATAAGACTTTCCATTTCTATTCTGTTTGCAGCCATGTGTGTGTCCTTACGGAACACTCACATGCTCAAGTGTAGAAGACCTCACTGCTCTGTACCAGGAAGTCGGGGACCTTAACATCACCAGCATTTATTTTAGGGTAGGTGCTCGATAAATGTTTGTTTTCTATCTCTGAATATCAGACACTTGTGCAGGCGTAAAGAATTTTGGCGAGGAGAGGAGTGGGTCAAAATGTCTGAGCAAGTTTCAGACTTGTGTAGGGTTTTTATCCCTTTAGGTCGTGAGTGCAGAGACTAGCCTGCTATTGCTGCAGAATTAGAAGTTCAACAATGATTCATGACAATTCCCATCCAGGTGATGTGATTGTCTATACAGATGGCTCTGTGTTGAGGAGCAAATGAAGTGTATGGGGGTACATAACAAGGGCGAATGGACGTCGCTTAGTGCAGACTAGTCTGTCATATAATATTACAACGTCTAATTCGAGAATGGAGGTAGAGGCAGTTTCTGCAGCCTTACGATGGCTGGAGAATCAACTGTACACACATGCTTTGATTGTAACTTACTCGCAAAGCGTGCTGAGAAAGGTGGCAAGCATCACTTTAGAGGTCCCGATTAGCTAGCGTTCTTTAGATATTATCTCCAGGTCATGCCGGTGTGTTGAGAAATGAGCTGGCAGATAGACTGACCTGTTCTGCACCACTTGGTGGTGAACTGACGTTTGACAAGCTAGATGTTGAGAGGGCCTTTTGGGAGCGAGTGAACAGTGCGGAGGCACAAACAGATACTTACTTTCTGAGGACAATGGCGCTGCGAGGAGTTACCAGGGGATCTGGCCGACGCTCAACACTCAAGGAAAGGGTGAGACAGGAAGTGTTCCGAGTGATCTGATGTCGATTCTTAATTCAGCATTCTGGCTTTGAACTTATCTTACCGAGTGTTTGGATGTGGCCAAGGATTGACAATGACAAGATAACGCTCAACACTGCGAAACGTGTATTATTTCAGTTTTTTTTTTTTAAAAAGAGTAAAATATTCGTAGGCTGGGCGATCTATACAATGTGTAGTCTTATACAAACACACACACACACACACACACACATACACACACACACACATGCACACAAACACACACACACAATGCTGGGGGATGCATAGGTGATATAGTAAAATACAGAAAAAATTGATAGGTATTTTGTCTTTCTAACCGCCATTTGAACACAGTTCCTCAACCAACTCACGCTAGATAGTTCTTTCCCTTGCTATCGCCTGCAGCTCTCACCATGTCCAACCAACTTACGCTAGATCGTTCTGTCCCTTGCTATCGCCTGCAGCTCTCACCATGTCCAACCAACTCACGCTAGATCGTTCTGTCCCTTGCTATCGCCTGCAGCTCTCACCATGTCCAACCAACTCACGCTAGATTGTTCTGTCCCTTGCTATCGCCTGCAGCTCTCACCATGTCCAACCAACTCACGCTAGATCGTTCTGTCCCTTGCTATCGCCTGCAGCTCTCACCATGTCCAACCAACTCACGCTAGATCGTTCTGTCCCTTGCTATCGCCTGCAGCTCTCACCATGTCCAACCAACTCAACTAGATTGTTCTGTCCCTTGCTATCGCCTGCAGCTCTCACCATGTCCAACCAACTCACGCTAGATCGTTCTGTCCCTTGCTATCGCCTGCAGCTCTCACCATGTCCAACCAACTCACGCTAGATCGTTCTGTCCCTTGCTATCGCCTGCAGCTCTCACCATGTCCAACCGACTCACGCTAGATTGTTCTGTCCCTTGCTATCGCCTGCAGCTCTCACCATGTCCAACCGACTCACGCTAGATCGTTCTGTCCCTTGCTATCGCCTGCAGCTCTCACCATGTCCAACCGACTCACGCTAGATCGTTCTGTCCCTTGCTATCGCCTGCAGCTCTCACCATGTCCAACCGACTCACGCTAGATCGTTCTGTCCCTTGCTATCGCCTGCAGCTCTCACCATGTCCAACCGACTCACGCTAGATCGTTCTGTCCCTTGCTATCGCCTGCAGCTCTCACCATGTCCAACCAACTCACGCTAGATCGTTCTGTCCCTTGCTATCGCCTGCAGCTCTCACCATGTCCAACCAACTCACGCTAGATCGTTCTGTCCCTTGCTATCGCCTGCAGCTCTCACCATGTCCTCCCCAACTTTTCAACTCAACTCTCTAGATCCCTTCTCCTGGTGTTTTTTGGTCTTCCTCTACTTCTATGCCCCCACCTGGATTCCAGTGCAAAGACCTTCTAGTTATATTGTTTTCTCTCGAAGTCTGCCCTATCCAACGCCAGCCATTTTTTTAACCTCTTGGTCCACTGAAAATTGTTTAGTTCTTTCCCAAAGTTTAAAATAGTGATTCTATCATACCATTTAATTCCGTATTTTTTTTTTTTTTTTTTTTTGCAGTTAATGATTGTCTGAAGTTTTTTTTAGTAATTGCCCTAGTTATTCTCCATGTGTCAGCTCCATCATCATCATCATCCTCATCAGGTGCCTTGCCGACTGGCGTGGGCGATCATGCCTCTACGTAATCTACGATCTCCTGCAGCATGTATCAGTTCTTGTGCCGACACACCTCCATGCCATGCAACAAGAGTGTCAAGAATCTTTTCTCGTTGTCTTCCTCTTTCCCTCCTTCCACAGATCTTTCCAGTGGTCACAACATGTTCGATTTTCCCTCTACTCATAACATATCTGAAAAATAATGACTGTCTCCTTCTGATGTCTGTATTAAGTTGTCTTCGGGCTCCTGCCTCTTTCAAAACCTCTTGGATTCAGGCTCAATCATGCCTCAGCTCCATACAACATTCATAAAATATTGCTTGTTCTTATTATAGTTTTTAAAAAAAAAACTTGTTTATTTGTAAGTGTTTAAATGCAAGTAGTTTTTGTCATTTTTACATGTTATTTTTTTTTTTCAACACAAGACCAACCTATCATGAATTTTAATTTGTTCATGTTGGTTCAGGCGTCTTATTAAGCTTGCTTATTAACACCACGACATAAAATATCCATATTTACAAAGTGTGTTAGTGTGAATGTCAAAAATCAGGTACAACATATTGTAATTTGTTTCTTTCGTTTCTGTTTCTAGGGCGGAAACATCACCAGCATATCCGGAAACAATCTACCTCCTGGACTTGAATACATATATTTCAGTAATCAGCCACTAACCAATATTTCGGAAGATGCCTTAAACAGCTCGGCGCAAACGTTAAACTCCCTGACCATCATTGGTGCCCAGTTCCTTCAGTTACCGAAAGCCTTGCTCGTGTTGACAAACTTGACCAGCCTAAGAATTCAGGACGCACCCATACAGAATTGGGACGACTCTGTACTAGAACATATTACAGCCAACGTTAAATACCTTCAGTTGAAGAATGTCAGTTTAACGATATGGCCTCGCTCGATTTCGTCATCTCGAACACTAGTCAGTCTAGATTTAAGCTATAACCCTTTAAAATATATCCCTGATGACGCTTTTCAATTTCTAAACTACACTCTCAAGGACCTTGACCTGAGCCAGACTGGGCTAACAAAAGTACCGATGGCCTTGTTTAGCTTGTCAAACTTAAGCAGGCTTGATCTAAGCGGTATTGCACTGTCAAATGTCACTGACATCGAACAACTGGAATCTATGCCGTTTGCCACAGGCCTGGTTTTCATCACATTAGAATCGAGTCAAATAAAAACAATTTTGAACTTTTCATCTTTTACAAGTCTTGATACAATTACATTAAACAACAACAGCATTACTGATGCTACCCCCGGCTCTTTCCCGCCATCTTTAACATATCTCTCTCTTAAGGAGAATCGGCTCACTGCAGTGCCAACAGCGATTGCTCACCTACCACAATTGGCAGAGTTATTTTTATCACATAATCAGATCGCTAGCATTGAACCCGGCTCTCTCCCGCCTAGTCTGACTACACTAGACTTGTCGTATAACAAAATATCTGTGATAACCAACACATCATTCATCAACATGAAAAACGTAACATACTTAAGTCTTTACAGCAATCCTATATCAATAATAGATCCTTCAGCATTCTCAGATCTTGTGTCCCTGAAATATCTTAACCTTGGTCGTTCATCCCTCATGGAGATCCCGCTTGCTGTCACATCCCTGCCGGCAGATATAGACTTGAGCATGTTCGAGACTGGTTACATAAGATGTCCTTGCCCACCACCTCAAGAGCTGGTCGACTGGTTTGCGTTGACAAATGGAACTGTTCCCTTTTTCATGAGCTGCGACAGCTACCAGTCTGCTGAACAGTACCTGACTACCGGCTGTGTTTCTACTTCTACTACAATTACCACAGTTGCCCTTACAGATACCACTCATAGAGGCAGTGCCACTTCTCTTCAGAGAGCGCTCTTCTCTATACGGGGTTCTCTTCTCATACTGACGACTGCATTCTTGATGTACTAGGTCGACCATGAACCCGTTATCGTCTTCTCATTATTTTTTTTTTTTCTTCTGTTCTCTACACCTGGTATGCCTAGTGGCGTCAGGGCAGAAAGATATCTATGAGACAGACCCTTCTGCTCTCTACACCTGGTATGCCTAGGGGTGTCAGGGCAGAAAGATATCTATGGGACGGGCAGTTTCTGTTCTCAACACCTGGTATGCCTCGCGTCGTCTGTTCGCTTTGTATAAAGTAATTTTTACTGTGTCTGATATTTCTACAGTCCATATTCTGCGTGGTCTACCTCTTTATGTGTTACCGCTGTATCTGTACAACATTGCCCTCTCTAATGCTAGTCTTGATACATTGCACACATGAAAACAAAATTATTAACTCTTTCTTCCCAGTGCACAGAACTGACCAATTATGTACCTTTTTAAATGTATTCCGTAGCTGGGGTTCAAGCTGTGTGATGATATCCCTGACTGGATTACCCCATTTGTGAGTGGTGTCGAGTTGTCGTTCGTGTTAGCACACTTGTTTCTGCAGCATATATGTGTGTCGCTTATAGTTGACAGGCTTGATTACCGACATGGTCTAAAGCTTTTAGACTGTTATGTTATCTAGTGTTTCCTGTTTTTTTTTTTTTTTTTAAATTAATGAGTGCCAATCAATTCTTGTATATTTGTTTATATTTTTTTCTTCTCAAGCAATGCACTATTATTGACTAAATTGTGTTTGTATCGAATGTGTTTTAATGATCCACATAACACTTATGTTTTCATTTTGTTTACGAGAGTGATTCAAATGAAAATCCTATAAATTGTTGTATAAATTACAAACGCTATTGTCTTGTAACCGCTCAACATTGTTGTTAAGGATGTAAGGAATGTTAAGCGAGTGGCATTACGGGGCAAACCAACACGATGACATAAATAATGTCCGTTTAAAAATAGCCCCGTCCCACTTTTGATAAACAGATTGCAAAAGACGAATACATCATATTTTGACATAATCTCCTTGCTTTTGTTTATTTATTAGTTCGCTTTCGTAGACCCCAATCAAAAATTTCTTAAGTGGTTTGAAAATCCTCCAGTTTGATTTAAAAAACATCCTGGATGATTTGAAAAATATCCACTTTGATTTAAAAAACGTACATGGTAATTTAAAAATGGTCCAGTTTGAATTGAAAAATGCCCTAGATGGTTTTAAAAGTGTCCAGTTTAAAGGACATACACGCACCGAAATCACAGACAAGAGCTCTGTCGACAATGTCTATGTTACGTTCTTCAGCACCTGGAAAACAAATTATGGCGTGAACACGTTGTAGTTGTGTTACACACAGGGGTGCCGGTAATAATGTAAAGGATCCTTTTCCACGCCTTTCGGCGTCTATGGCATATAGGGCTAGATTTATATTTCATACGCGAATTGGCACTTGGTTGGGGATGTTGCCGCCATTACTTCTAAAGAGTGCATCTGGTACCCATTCAAGCCTGGGTCGATCTGGGAGCCAAGGTCATTTTTGGAAAATAAAGTCTCTCCTCCTCAGGACTCGAACCCACGACTTCCGATCCACAGGCATTACATCACGGTGACTCCCGAAAGTGCCGGTACTCACCGCAAAGTGTTTAATAAAAGGTGCAGGTACGGACCACATACTGTCCATTACAGTAATGCTAAACATAGAAGCCTGTGTAATATCGCCTATCGTCAGTCAAGAAAGCCCTGGTCACACACGATATTGATTGACAGGGGCAGAGGTTGGGATTTGGGCGTTATATTTGAGCTACAGATGGTTGAAAGCGGCATCAGAAGACAGTATTTCACCTTTTGCGATTGGCGGATACCGCTAAAGAATTTAAGATCAACTCACTAACTCGAGCCCTTCGTAGTTGGCTCCGCCCATTTACACACTACGTAACTTTTCATTTATACTTGGTAAGCCTAGTCAACTTTTGTCAAGTTAGAGGGGTTTACCCGTCTCTTCTGTATTCACACAGCTTTCTGCGTTACGTGTTAATTCTTTTTCTAGGAGTAGCGGCCGCCGAAACTGCGTGCTGACTCGTGCACAGTATTTCTGTTTGTTGGTGGGTTATTGACAGCCGTCTAGGATTTTGCGTAGGAAATGAGTTTATTGAAAAGGGTAGAGTTGCGTGCCTGCCGTGACATAGCGTTCTGTGGGCCACCGCAAAATGTTAAGAAGTCTTAAACCACGGCAAGTAGAATGCACTGTCTCATCGGACCTAGGTTCAGTGTGTGGGGAAGATGGTTGGGGTTAGGGCCAGTTGTACAATTTAGGGGGTCGTTAAAGCCGCTCACATCATCTGATATAGAGCAGGCGTGGTCTCTAGTAAGAGCCTCAAGCCAACTGAACCCCCAGCCACATTCACTTGAGCGCCTCAAAGGTTAGGGCGGAGAATGAACATCCAGTCACAGTGCCCTTGCCGGACCCCGTCACTCATGAGTGGGCCCAAGCTAGCTAGTTGTACTGGAATTTGGATGAACCGACAGATGCCAGCGTTACTGATTAAATATTTGCTGGGGTCAGTAAAAAGCACATTCTGGGACCAAGGAACGACACCCCCGGGTAATGTCTGTGAACTAAGATATAGGATTTAAGGTTACGGACCACAGTACGTGTTGATAAAAGGGATTAAACTTTCAGTCTCCATTAATGCGAGGGTGGAGGAGGGGGTTGTTAGGCAATTTTTAAATAGCATGCATTTGTTTTTGTAGTAATTCGTTACATTATTTTTTTTTCTAGTTTAATTATAAATAAATTTATAAAATATTTTTGTTTACAAAACTATTGACAAAACACAAAGACAAGGACATTTCTGAGCAGTATGTATATCTGCAGTTAAAAATCTAATTAATATAATAAAACAGGCATTATTAGATTAATAATTTAGCTGGTTAGTAATAATACATTTTTTGTTTATTTTGCACTTTTCTTGTTGTTGCTGTTGCTCTATGTGGGTCCTGTTTATGCTATCTCGTCCATGTGAACTAACCTAACCGACGTACAATGAGTTCACAACCAAATATATTCATGTAGTCATTTATACGACTTGTCATTATTGCATGTTTTGTGTGTGAGTGTGTGTGTGTGTGTGTGTGTGTGTGTGTGTGTGTGCGTGCGTGCGTGCGTGCGTGTGTGTGTGTCTTTAAATATTCGACATAGATTAGACTTTGTGTATTTAGTTTTCTTTCTTTACACAGTGAACCCAAGCGCCATCTACCACATTATGTGACAGAGTAGAATGTGACAGGAGTCTGTGACCTGGCAACTTTCGCCTAGATCAGTAATTCTCAAACCTTTTACTTCACTTACAAACCTTTTACTTTACTTACAAACCTTTTACTTTACTTACAAACCTTTTACTTTACTTACAAACCGTTTACTTTACTTACAAACATTTTACTTTACTTACAAACCTTTTACTATACTTACAAACCTTTTACTTTACTTACAAACCTTTTACTTTACTTACAAACCTTTTACTTTACTTACAAACCTTTTACACCCGCGTTTCGCGTTTCACCAAAACAGTTGAGATTGTTTCGTGGCCCACCAAAACAGTGGAGAGTGTTTCGTGGCCCACCAAAACAGTTGAGATTGTTTCGTGGCCCACCAAAACAGTGAAGATTGTTTTGTGGCCCACCAAAACAGTTGAGATTGTTTCACGGTCAAACTGACAGTTTGCCAAATACAGAAGCAACAAATAATGTATTTAGTTTATTTTTTACGACCGTTGTAAGAAAATTCAGCTTTCATGTTAGATACACGTGTTTAGAGCGTTGTTTCTGATATACGAAGCGCTACAAAACCCTAAATCTGTTTCTCGGTTGGTTGTGTTTTTATTAACATGCCGGAGAAAGTTGTTTCAACCGCAAAAGTCCTTGATGTGCTAATCCTACAGACTGGAAGAGACAACCACCAACCCTACTTCGTTACACGAGGAAGCAGAATTGTTTGGAGGCCCGTTTTGATTTTTTCCGCGTATTACCGTTGGGCCGTGGACCAGGAGTTGAAGAACACTGGAACTGAGTTCAAGCTGTACAAATGTGTAGCATAGTACTGTTATTTCTCAAGGTGGTTGTCTCCCACACAGAACTGGACCGTGAATGAGTACATGTTCTATTTATATCTCAGCGTAAAGCTGTCAATACCAGTCAAAGGGGCCGTCACTAAGGAACCAACCAGCGTGGTGAAAGGGTAGGAGGTTCTGTCGGGGAGAGACGTCAACTCAGTCAAGTCACATTTTTTTTAGAATTAATCAAGTAACAGAAAGTATTGTGAACGGCACTCATAGAAAGAAGTAGAAAGATAGAAGAACACACTACACAACATAAAAATCGAAAGCTATAGTTAGCGTGCCGGGAATTGAACCTGTCACCTCCAGACGGCGTCTGCGCCTCGCCATGAATACAAGTGCACTAAGATACATGGTCAACTAGGCACCCCCCAAAAAAGGTGTCTTATTGGCCATGTCTATCGTACAGCTTGAAATCCACGACTATGGAATACGGACAAAATTCATTTCAACCCATTAAAATGGCACCATAGGTTACAGAAATTTATATTAACGAAGCAAATGTCGAATTACAATCCCAGCAACAATTTACAAACACAGTAGACCTCATTGCTTTGTCTAGAATACACAAACATTTAAGAAAGGTACTTGATTGGTAGGTTCCGGTGTGTATACGTCATTCCTATAAATAAACAGAGGGGGGGGGGGACCATTTGAGGCCGTTAAATATTATGAATTAATCAAGTAACAGAAAGTATTGTGAACGGCACTCATTTTTTTAAGGCGAAGGGCTCAAACAGTTCAGTCTTTTTAAAATAATAATAACAATATTAATAACAATAATAACAATAATAATAATAGTAATGTGCTCAGTGGAATTTAAATATAGTGATATGCTTTGAAATAAAAAAAAATAATGTGCAGACAAAGACTTACAAAGAAAACATTTATACATTTTGAGAGGTCTTGATCTTGAGAATGTG